AAGAAACATTTTGCAGCTGTTAGCTTACAATATTGAATATAACAAGCAAACAAAACAATATTATCTAGAGTTCGAGTTCGTTCTACATTGTTAAAAGCGAAACTTTAGAGGATCTCAGCGTTTCTCTCTCAGCCGCGACACTGTCTTAATGACCTATGACCAATGACAAATATCTGACCAGAGGGGCTATAAATTAGGGACTAAAATATATTCATAGCTTTTCTGTGTTGTATAAAAATATTATTCTTTTAAATTTTGTAATTATGTTAAATTCCTCCCAAAAAAAATTATATAATATGCATTACTAAATAGAAAGCACGGTATGATTCAATTGTTAAATTTTGCTTCTTCATATAAAACCGAACGTAAGGTTTGCATTCTCCAAAAGATAAAATAAAAAAAAGAATATCTTCAAAATCGAAAATTTTTACTCGCATTTTACGTTAAAGACAGCAAGGTAAAAATTCAGTTTGTCTGTTTAAAATTCAATTTAACAGGTATGTAAACTATTATATATCAAATTGTGTAACTTCCTCTGATTAATTACGATAGATAAATGCATTATCCTTCAAATGGACCATTTTCGACTTTTTCGAATTCCTTTGCATATTTTGGCGTTTGTATTTTATTTTAGAAGCTTAAATTTTGAAAAACGAATCGGATAATTTGGCTCATAGTAAGAGGATATTTGGTGAATATTGTATAAAATGTCTTGTATCAAATTCATCAAACACCATTTAAAAATTAAAATTAATATGATTATTAGTATACAATGGCTGTGAAATATGGCAGACAGTAAACATATGCTAATGGGAAATTATATAAGTTTTTAAACTGAGTTTAAATTCTTCTTCATATTACACAGCACAAACAATATCAACACTATAATATACTAATACACACAATTACAATTATATAATATATACATATTTCGGCAAAACCGATATAAGACAATTTCTGAAATTTATAGGACAAAAAATAAATAAATATGGTATTCGAATGCCAAAGTTTTAAAACCAGAAAATTAGAACGCACACACAGCAAGTAACATAGTCCTATGAAAAAAAAAGAAGTTTAGTCCAATAATTATTACTTTCCTAGCTATACTAGTTAAGGAAAGTATTGCAATCGGGTCAAATTTCCGACATGCGGTTTTCGACGGATCTATACATTTCAGAGCACTCTGAGTCCGAAAAACATATTTTTAGCCATTGGTATGTCTGTCTGCCTGTGCCAAGATTTTCTGGAACTACTGAACCGATTTTAATGCTTCTTTTTTTATTTTGCAGGATTTTGACTACCGATGCCTGTGACAGAAATTCGGTGCTCCATGCGCAATAGCTTGCGCGCAATAAATGAAAAACATGTTTTTCTATAGACTGTAGCGCAAAAACGTCTCTAACGATTTTGATGAAACTTTTCTATAATGTTTTAATCATTGTCCTTTCATATAGACTAAATTCCCGAAAAAAATCAAGAAAAAAAGTTATAAAGAAAAGAAAAATGTTATGGAGCCTAATTCCCTAAGTATATGGTATATGGTCAAATTTATAATAAAACTTTTGAAAGGTAATTAAATTTCCAACAAAACAAAAAAAAAAAAAAATCATCGGAATCGAACCGCATAAGCGATTATACAGCTTATTCTATTTTTTACGCATTTTTTTAACTTATTAATTTCCTACCTATACTAGGTAAGGAAAGTATTGCAATCGGGTCAAATTTCCGACATGCAGTTTTCGACGGATCTATACGTTCCACAGCCAAAAAACACATTTCTAGCCATTGGTCTATCCGTCTGTCTTTACAGCTTTTCAAAATATTTATAAGAAAATCTGTTGCCCGCATCAAACAATCTTCACTATTTCCTCTACATTTAACAGAAATTAACTACCTTAAGCCGGTTTACATTGCTTTAGTTTATCAAATAAATCGTACTCAAATCTTATGTTAGATAAATTTTCAGGAAAATTTGTCTAGTTCAATTCTTTTTTGTTTCTTCATGAACATATGTAAAGATATAAAAACTTTTCTGAAATAGGTAGAAAAGTCGTTTGAGTGAACACACCAGATTTTTTTCTTTGATACTAAGAAGGTAATAAACTATTGTGAAATAATTTGCAGCGTTTTTTTTTTTTTTTTTTTAATGGATCACTTAATATCACACTATAATTTCACTTCTTCTTTAAGAAATTTCCTCTTCTACTGGTACTCCTTCATAAGGAAGCTGTGCTGCCGGAATAATAAATCAATAGTATTGAAATATTTTTTTGGAAATGTATAACAAATATTTAAAATAATTTCTATTTCATATAATTTTTTATATAAGATTTTTTTATATCAGCCTCCAATGCTGGGATCTCAATGCCTAGGTGGTGAGGTTGGATGACTAGGTCTCTCGAGATCTCAGACTCCATTAATCATATTTGACAAGACAGGTCCTGAGTCGCTCAATCAATGTGGGACGTGATCTCGTGTGGTCACAGGCAAGTAGCTTTGTAGCTACCACACTCTAAATAAACATAAAATATAATGATATACCTCCTTGTACATGTAATAGAATGTCCGGTTGATATAATAAAAAAAAACAAAAAAAAAACAAAAAACATAAGAACACAAATAAATTAAAGTCACTCACTAATCGGTAATTTATTGTTTGAATACTGTTATTTTATGGTACTGCAATCATTTAAAAATTTTGGTAGTAAATGTACCATAGAAAATTATTAGGCTTAATTAGAGGCCGAGGCTTTCCATTTTGATTACGAGGGGGGGGGGATTAAACAAAAAAAAAATGGAGGTAGTGATGGACATAGCTAAGGAAATTATTGTCTTTTTTTTGGCTCATGTAGCCCTTACATTCATTTATGATATTTACAACTGTATTACAAATAAAAATGGATTCAGTAAATGTGAACAAAAGAATATAATAACATGAAACCACTTGTTAAGAAACTACCCATTGGTAGCACTCTAATAATGTACAAAAGGAGATCTCGTAGCCATCTTCTTTTCAGACTCCTCGGAGGATTGTCAGGGATCGAACAGGAAACAAGGTTAGAAACGAGAGGGTTTGGATGGTTATGAAGTTTATTATAGAAGGATAGGTATCTGGATTGGGCCAGTTTAGAAACATAAGGAACATTAAGGTCGTTATGGATGATTTTGTTTGTGAAACAGTAGGGAGCATTGAGGATTTAACGAAGGATTTTGGATTGTAAGGATTGGATATGAGAGGATGGTTTAGTGGAGCCCCAAAGTACAAATAGGTCTTGTTGTAGTCATGTATATGATTCTTTTGTAATTAATTGGAAGTTTAGAGCTTTTGTCTAGTAAGTATGAGGATTCCGTTTGTCTAAGTGGAGTCCAAGGTATCGGATTTGTTCAACAGGGATAAGTGGGGTATTACTAAGGATACTGTAGGACAGGAGGACATTGGTTTACGAATTTAGGATTTTAAAATTGAAAATATATTTAGTTATGCAGGTATAATCTCCGTTTAAAAAAACAAACACCTTTTTGCACAAGTGATGGGCACACCGAAATTCAATTGTTCTAGTTATTTACAGGGAGTTGGTACCAGTTATAGACATGCCTCAGAAAAATTCTACAATCTTTATTTAGCTATAAAAGAGCACTTGTATACATAGAAACAACAATGATAGGCATTTTAATTAAATACTTAATAGTTGACCGTTGTATTATTAAAGAACGAAATGGTCCGGGGTGGCGGTCATAAATAGACTAAATAATGGCAAAACTATTTTTATTAAAAGCCAACGTTTCGATCCGACTTTGCAGGTCTTCATCAGGGCTAGAACGGACAAGATACAAAAAGATAGAGAATTGTGGAAGTTACATAACATTTAGACAAAAAATTATAAACAATGTGAATAAGTTTATTAAAATATAAACAGAATAAGCTAAGTAACAAGATCCTAAACTGAAAACTAAACATATGAAAATGTGAATATACTTCTACAGATCTACAGGAGAGATAGAATGAAAATGAAAAAGGATATAATATGAAATAATAGACATAAAGAAATGTGGAGATAGAAAAGAAAAAAGAAAACAAAAAAAATAAATAAATAAGTAACTAAAATTAGAAGAATAAAATTAGAGACTCACAGGTGTGTACAGCTAGGAGTTTCACTTAGAACTGAAAAATTAGGGTAAGGGCAGGTATTGGAGAATTTGTTTGGGTAATTATATTATGTTCCTTTTTCCCTTTCTTCCAATCTCTCCTGTAGATATGTAGAAGTATATTCACATTTTGCATATATGATACTACAACAATTGTTACCATCTACTTACTATTTATAATTTTATTAAGTTTATTCACATTGTTTATAATATTTTGTCTAAATATTATGTAATTTCTTTATATTTTTTTGTATCTTGTCCGTTCTAGCCCTGAAGAAGACCTGCGAAGTCTGGTCAAAACGTCGGCTTATAATAAAATAGTTTTACCACTATTTATGACCGCCACCCCGGACCATCTCCTTTTATAATGCAACGGTCAACTATTAAATATTCACTATAGTTTATTATTTAAGGATGGAGATGGTCCGGGGTGGTGGTCACAAATAGGCTGAATAGTGGTAAAACTATTTTATTAAAAGCCAACGTTTCTTATTTAGTTTATTATTTACCATTATCGGTCGTATAATATTATATTTCTGATTGTATATCACCCATGATATGTAGATCAGTCTACTGAATTCCTTCTATAAAATAAGAAGAACCTGTTAGGAGTTTTATTTATTTACTCTTTCTGGGATCCTCATACTAGACTTAAAAGACAAAAAACTGCCAACAGATTCCGACTACACTCTCTAAACTTACAATATTCTACAAAAAAAAAACTCATTTACATTACCATCTTTGTTTTCTTTTAATAAAATAGTTTTAGGACCATCTCCTTCCTTTAAAAATATATTTATATATATGTTATTAAGTCTCGTTATTGTTGAAGTTCCTGGATACTGTTTCTTTTCATGAACTCTCTCATAGATGACAGACGAATAAGACACCGAGAGATCGCCATTAAGATTGCAAAGCCTCCTTTATCCGATGAATGGATAACGCGATGGTTTGTATCGGGCCTTTATCGATTCCCCCTCGGAAGAGACCAAGGTATCCTAGCTGTATCCGACCCCCAAGTCTGGCGGTGTCCATGGCAACCGAGTCTGGGATCGACCTGCGGCGCGCGCAGACCCTTTAGCAAACTAACACTTCCATTATCACGTGCCCATCTTGCTGCGCCGCACGTACGGCGTTATATACGCGGCTAACGACACGCATCGATTGGGCGATTGTTCTGTCCCGGGGGCACACATGTTCTCTGCTAATAGCTCTGTCGATAACTCAATGCTCTCTCTATCTGATGTGGGTATGTTAGCGCAAGTCGATTCGGTGTCTATAGGCTTTCTTCACCTAAGGTGTCTTATGAGTTATCAATTTTTTAAAATTATTTCATATGTACATATTATCGAAATCTAATCATATGTTTATAAAAAAAAAAAAAAAAAAGCCGTTGGATGAAGGATCTCCTTCCTTAGACAACCTAAGTAATTGGAACAAGTTAGGGAAGAGGTACTGCTGAGTACTTTCCTTCCCCATGCCTGTCATGTCATTATATCATTATCGTCATCAAATTTTCTGATTGTTAACTTATTGTTGATAGGCGCAAATACATATTTTATATACCAAAAAAAAAAAAAAATAAATAATAATAATAATGAAGGCTTTAAAGAAAACTTTAGATTGTGTTGCCCAGTCTTGATTTTGCACAAGAGTTACTTATTAGCTTATTACTATAGGGATATTACTGTATTTTTTTTTCTATATGAGAAACCTAACTAAGCCCGAATGAAATATTAGAGGAGTTAAATGCAAAAGTAAATTGGTTATACCAATTATTAACATATAGTAATTAAGATTGCACGTTTATTGAAACCATATGCAGGAAGCAAAAAAATGAGCCCAAGAGGTACCTGAGATAAATGCCGAGAATTGCGTGAAAATAAATTAGAAAAAATTGTTGATTCAGAAATATTTCCTGATAATAATGAAACTTCTGTATGAATATATATATTTTTTTGTATATAGCTAAACTGTATATATTTTGTTTTTAATATAAGTAAAACAGAAGAAATCACAAACAAAATAAATCGCTTTTAAGTGTTTTTGTTTAATTTATTTTAAGAGGAAAAAAAAATAAAAATAGTAATTAAGATTGGTAAGTATTAGTAACTATTTTGCCTTAATTTTTATTTTTAAAAAAATATGATCTTTTTTTACCAGTCCTGGTCTTGGTCTTCCAACAGTTAGGCAGCACAAGACCAAGACCGATTTTGGGCAACATTAGCTTTAGACCACACGATAGAAGTGAAAACATCAACATAGCGAAATTAATAATATAAAATATAAATTATAATAGCTCATTATAAAGAGGATGAAATGTTGAACATTTCCCTCAATTACAGTATGCAGGTCAGATTTTTAGTTTCTGAGATATTTGAATCTATATCTCAAATAAAACTCGTTATCATTCGGTTTTCGACACTATTTTTTCCCCTTTTGCCTCTCTAAAACAGCGTCATGTTAAGATACAATTTTAAATAATAGCTTATCACAAAGAGGATAAAATTATGAACGTTTCCCTTGCTAATAAAATGCAGGTCCGAATTTTAGTTTTTGGAATATTTTAATCTATAAGCAATTAGTCGACTCTAGAGAACTTTATCCAAGGGTTACATATCGGAAATCTGAAGGCTCAATCTATAAAAAAAAATGGCGACTGATTAAAAGAATATTAGGCTAGTAACCTAAGGATCGAAACGAAAAATTCATCGTGTGGGAAAAGTTTTTATTTTTACGTCTAAAAAAAATTGGAATTTTTTTTCATTTTTTAACATATAACTCGTAAACGTTGCATCGAAGCGGAAAACGTAATCTTTAAAAAATTAAAGAATGTTATATTATGCGTCGAATGAGTGCCTAAACTTTATAATTTGATTGTATAGTCGATAACTACAGTTATTAAGAAATTTTTCAAAAATCGATAAAAATTACTATTTATGACCATCAAGCTTGGATGGAAATTAGTACTCTAAGAGAATAACACTTATACAGCATGGAACTCCGTATCCAATGAATAGAAACAGTTTGTTTTTATAAGGTATTTTCCAAAATCGGTCTTGGTCTTGCAGAGTGCAAAGTGACTAAGAGCGCCTAACTGTTGCAAGACCAAGACTGGTTAATACAAAATCGATTTTTTTAATAAAAAGTAAGGTAAAATAGTTACTAATACTTGACTATTTTAGTTACTATTTGTATGATTAATTTAATGATTTAACTCTTCCAATTTTTCATTCGGGCTTAGTTAGATTTTTTCCTATCTAAAAAAATACAGTAATATCTCTATAGAAATAATCTAATAGGTAATTGCAAGACTGTTGCGAGATCAAGACTCTTATTGGTCTCGCATTTGGGCAATACTAATGTAGGACAATTATATCTCTCGAATCGGTTCGTTGATTCTTCATGAAATTCTATTTTTTTTTTACACCTGATTTCTCAAAACCTTCGTTCAGCTGGGAGGTGAAAAAGAATCCTATATTGTATATAAGAGACTCTTAACAAAAATAACTTAGTGTAAAAGACACCCATACTGTTGAAATATTTAAAATCACTGATACCTTCGTCATAAATTTCCAGTCATCAGAAGATTTCGAGCGAAGCAAATAAGATAGTTAATTCAACACATTGTACATAGAGTGTGAATATGATCTGTGAACTCTATTATAAATGTACTAGAGACAGATTGTAATATTTTTCAATAAATAAGTTTAAAAAAAAAAAAATCAACACAAGCAACCTTTGAAGCTTAATATTGTTCCACAACTGTTACAGTAAAATTTTACTAAATAGGTTACTGAAGGGTACTTCTGGCAAGGGGTACCGTTAATCTTGAAAACGGTACATTTGAGGACTTAAGGGTCCGTACGTCCGAAACGTAGGTTCCGTTAGTTTTAAAGTAACTACCTGGTTTTGATGACCTTACCAAAATTTGTGAAACACACTGTGTCCTATATCATTACTATGACATTTGAAAGCATCTGAATTTTTCCAATGACTTTTATTATAGTATTAGTAAAATTTTACTTTACACATATCAAACCCGTTTTTTACATCTAAAATATCTTCTCTTTACATTTATCAAAGTATGTGCGGTTGTCATTGAACTTTCAATTAAAATAAAAACATACAATTAATGAATTATTTTTTTTTTATTCATTCATGATATTTACAACTGTGTTAAAAAAAAAAAATACATCTAGTAAATGTGCTATCAGGAATATAATAATATGAAATCTCTTGTTGAGAAACTACACGCTGATAGCACTCAAATAATAAATTTCCACAGAAAGATCACGAGCTCACTTTCTTTTCAGAAGTCAGTTTTATTTTTATAGTGTGATACAAGATCAGTTAGAGCTAAGTTTATCTAGAGTAATTTTATACACAATATAATTGCAGATATTGTAAATGTAATTACTTTATGAGTATAGAAGATAAAAAAATATATATTTAATAATATTAATCCAGCCTTGTTTGTGTTTTCACTTTTGGTCTTAAGCACACACCTTAGCTATTTTTTTTTTAAATTTTATAACTTTTACTTAGTACTATAAGATTATTGCATTCTAAGAAAATACGGTATTTTCTTCATAAATTCCTTAAATATTAAGAAATTGTAAATATTAAAGCTAAGATTTAGGGCTGGAGAGATAGGAGCGAGCCGCGGGGTGTCAGATGTTGGTAAGTCATTAGCGATGCAGATCCCGTCGCCGCCACACACACACAAAGCGCTCACACGATCCTGTCCTGTCCTCTTCTCTACGTGAGCCAACCTATCTTTAATTATTTATCCGCCATTGCTACGGTCACATTATAAACTACAGTAATTGAGCATCTTTTAAGAATATTAATCGTTATTATTTCATAACAATTCTTATTTTCTTCAACAAATATTATTCGCATCTGTCAGTAATATTGATAACCAGTAAATTCTCTGGCGTGGTTTTGAACATTATGGCGTGGTAGCCGTTTCTTAAATTAGACTTGAACGTCCCGCCATAAATGAATACTTTTATTAAAAAAGGATACAATGAAAAATTTCTGCTTACAAGCAGTTCTATTGTTAAGTCTTTATAAACTTTTCAGATTCTACTTATATTGGCGAAACCTCAAATTTTTAAGTATTTTTTTTTGTATTATTGTAATTTAAACTGTATTAAATGATAAATAAAACAAGTAAATATGAAACAATTAACATGACATGTACAACATGAAGAGAAACTACCCATTGGTGGCACTATTATATTTCTATATTAGAAGGTCCCGAGGCCAACTTCTTTTCAGACGCCTCGGAGGGTTATCAGGGATCGAGGAGGAAGCAAGGTTGGAAACAAGAGGGTTCAGAAGTTTATTATGGAAGGATAGGTATCTGGATTGAGCTAAATCGGAAACATGTGGTACATTAAGGTCGTCATGAATGATTTTATTTGTGACAAAGTAGAGAGCGTTGAGGATTTTAAGAAAGATTTTGGATTGTAGGGATTGGATACGAGAGGAATTTGATGGTTTAGTAGAGCCCCAAACGTCGATCTCGTAAGTCCAAATAGGCCTTATTATAGTAATATACATAAGAATCTTTTGTAAATAATTGGAAGTTTAGATCGTTTGTCTAGTAAGTGCTGCAGTAGTCAAAAACGTCGGGCGGTTTCTAGTAGTTTCAGTCTGGTATGGGGGTTAGATGGAGATAATATTTTTTTTCCAAGTCTGTTAAAATGGTTGATTATTTAAAATAATAAACCAATCTTATTTAATGTTATGTTAATTGATATTTATTCCAATAAAAAAACGAGAAGTAGGAATTTTACATTAGAAAAAAACTGAATCTGAGCTTATTCTATAGCATGAAACTTGTCTTAGACAGGCTTAAGTATTATTAAACTTATAACCTACAGTCCAGCCGGTGGCTCATAAGAAATAAACCTTTAAATAAGAATTCAACAAAAAGGAATTTCACTATTTTGTTTACTAAAGTTTTGTCTAATTTACGATACTGAAATTGAGAGATGTCTTGCTTAAATATTTTTTCTTCCGACTGCTCCACTTGCTTGACAAACGCTCTAAACTTTCAAATAATTACAAAAGACTTATCTTCATAACTATAATAAGACTTATATGGACATACGGAGTTGAGCTTTGGGGCTCCACCAAACCATCGAATCCTATCGTATCCAATCCTTACAATCCAAAATCCTTCGTAAAATCCTCAATGCTCCCTACTTTGTTACAAATAAAATCATCCATAACTACCTTAATGTTCCTCATGTTCCATATTTGGCCCAATCCAGATATCTATCCATAATAAACTTCAGAACCATC